CCCACCCACCAACCTTACTCAAAAGGCAACAGGCTGGTCCAAACCACGAAATACTGGGACTGTATAAAAACTTTTGGACAAACTGTAGCCTGAACGGTACTTTCCTGCTTACAAGGTCAACAACCCCTTGTCCCCCTTCTTCCTTTGGAAGGTACAGAACACTCCTCGGTAACCAATGTAGTTTATCCCAAAAGAAGTTGATCATCTTGGCCTGTATTTTTCCAAGAACCCCTTCAGGAGGCTCTAAAACTGTTAACCTGTGCCATAATGAGGAGGCTACTAAATTATTAATAATCAATGCTCTCCCCTTAAAGGACATTTTAGGTAAAAGCCATTTCCACCTTCCTCCTACATTCTCAAGAATATTTTCCCAGTTTTTTTGCATTATTATTTCATCACCCAAAAAAATTCCAAGATATTTCAAACCTCTTTGTGACCAAACCAATTCACCTGGTAATACCAGTTCTCCTTCATTCCATTTCCCAACTCTATATGCTGAACTTTTGGTCCAATTAACTTTTGCAGATGAGATTTTTGCATAAATGTTAACAATATCAACCAGCTTATCAACATCATTCTGTCCACTGGTTAAAACTAAAACATCATCTGCATATGCTGATAACTTTATAGGTGGAAATGTACTCTCATATGTAAACCCATCTAATTGAGTCCTAATTTTTTTTAACATGGGTTCTATTGCTATGGTGTAAAGCATACCTGACAAGGCACATCCTTGTCTAATCCCCCTTTGTATTTTAAAAGGGCAACTCAAACCACCATTTATTTTCAATACACTTTAATCAAGGCAGTAAAGGCAGGTGGAAAACCAAAAGTTTCAAACGTGTGCCATAAAAACTGATGATCCACCCGATCAAAAGCCTTTTCTTGATCTAGGGAAATTAGGCCACATTTTTCCCCAAACAGTCTAGACACTTCCAAAATATCTCGAATTAAGGATATATTATCCACAACTGATCTATTAGGTACACAATAGGATTGATCTAAATGTATAATCTGTCCAATTACATTCTTCAGTCTGTTTGCCAAAGCTTTTGATAAAATCTTATAATCAGTGCATAATAAAGAAACTGGCCTCCAATTTTTTATTTCTTTGAGATCCCCTTTCTTGGGGAGCAAAGTCAAAACAGCTCTTCTGCAGCTTAGTGGCAGTTGTCCTTTGTCCAAACTATCACTTAAAACCATAAGTAGATCATCTCCCAACAAATGCCAATATGCCTTGTAAAAATCAACAGGCAACCCGTCCAATCCGGGTGCTTTTCCATTCTTCATACTCTGCAAGGCATTAAACAATTCGTCTTTTGTTAAGGGACATATCAGTTCTGCATATGAATCTTCATTTATTTTTGGTAGATTGGACACAAATTCAGCCATTAACTGGCCATCCACCACACTTTTGGAATACAGCTCTTTATAAAACCCGACAGCCCTTTTTCGAATATCAGCGGCCTCAGTCAGAGCTTTCCGATCTTCCGCCCGTAAACACTGAATACTTTTTCTTTGGCCATTTTTTCTTTCTAAACTGAAGAAGAACTTAGACGGGGCATCCATTTCAGAAAGACTTTGAAATCTGGATCTAACCAACGCCCCCTGAGACCTTGTACCTAATAGATCTGCTAAGGCTGCTTTTTTTCCTTTAAGGGCCCGCAATTGATTTTGATTTGCAGAGGCTTCATTTAGCGCCTGCAGTTCAACAATATCCATCTCAAGACTTCTCATGGATTGAACTATGTCTCTAGTAACATTGAAAGTGTACTGATTACAAAGTTTCTGTATTTGCACCTTCCCAATCTCCCACCACTGTTGTTGAGATGTAAAAGAAGACTTTTTAGACTTCCACCCCAACCAAAAGAAGGAAAAACACTTACAAAAGTGAGCATCTTCAAGTAAAGCACTATTAAAATGCCAGTAGGCACTCTTATATTTAACAGAATTAATAAAAACACATGCTACTACCATTGAGTGGTCAGAGAAACCAACAGGACAAATATCACAAGATTTAAAACAGTTTCTGATATTTAAAACAATAAAAAAGATCTAATCTTGCTAAAGAGATGCAGTTTTCTTTCACATGAGCCCATGTATACTGTCTTTCATCGCAATGAAAAGTTCTCCACACATCACAAAGTTGACAAGTTTTGATCACATTTATTAATTTACTTCTTGAAGCCATATGAGGCTCCATTTGATTTTTTCAAGTCATTACTTGTACAATTAAAATCTCCACCCAGTACTAAAACATTTTCTGTATTACATTGCTTTATGCTATCACATACATTTTCAAAAAACAACATTCTTTCTGTTGATTTTACAGGCGCATAGACATTTATCAATTCCATATTAGCATTTTCAAACTTTGCTATTATCTTAATTAGTCTACCTTTTACTACTTCTGTAACATCATACGATATTGGTAGACAAGTCTTTGAAAACAAAACAGCCACCCCAGCACTCAGAGCAGTCTTATGACTCAGAACAATACTTCCTTCCCACTCTTTCATCCATTCAACTTCATTATCCTCTGTACTGTGAGTTTCTTGCAAAAACATGACATCTATATTTTTTAATTTCATTAACTCATAAATCTGCGCTCTTTTGCTTGCATCCCTCGCCCCATTTACATTCAGGGAAGATATTTTAAAATTACTCATTATGAGGGATGAAAAAAACACAAAGAGCCAGGTCCATATCACGCTATTATTCTTGTGACAAATCATTATTCAATGCTTGAGGACGCACTTTTTGTACAATCTTTTTTAGACGATACAGCTCAGGATTTGACAAACAACCTTCACCTTTCTGTTTCATTAATATTTTTACTGAGTCAATAAATAAGGAAAGATCAGGAAAATAGTCTATGACCTCAACATTCCTCATTCCCTTTGTACGCTGGAGAAAAAGTTTCATTCTTTCCAAACTGTAACCACTATAGTCTTGTCTCACCTCTTCCTCAACTTGAACTTCAGAAATTTCCTGCTCACTCTCTGAGCCAGACAAATCGTTCAACACCTCCCGAGAACTTTTAGTAATGGTTTCAACTTGTGCCTTTTTCTTTGATGAAATTACAATCTCACCAACATTAGACTTCCTTTTCACTGCTGGCACTTTAAATGCTGCTTCGTCCTCTTTGAGTAAATCACCCACCATCTCATCCAGCTCAACATCCATTATCTCATCATCTTTTCGAATCCGTTTCTCACTACACTTCACTCCACTACTTCCTGGTTCTTCATTGCCCACACTCAAATCCGAAACCTCACCAACTTCACTTTCTTCTTCCACCCT